ACCAGACTACACAGCGCAACAACCCAGAAGACAGAAATCTTCATACTCATCGCCCTGATGACGGAGGCAGTATGACCTCTGAAACGTTGGTAAACATCAACCAGACTACACAGCGCAACAACCCAGAAGACAGAAATCTGCATACTCATCGCCCTGATAACGGAGGCAGTATGACCTCAGAAACGTTGTTAAACATCGACCAGACTACACAGCGCAAGAACCCAGAAGATAGAAATCTTCATACTCACCGCTGTGAAAATCTCAAATCTTACATTGTAGTAAGAAGTTTGGTAAAATACTTTTTTATAAAGTAACTGTAATATTCTTTGAAATAAAGCTTATGATATGAAACAAATACAATAACTGTCATGATTAAGAGTGTCACAATACAGCAGCAAATACTTTAACCATTTATTTTCAGAAAATTAATTCTCTAAAATCAACAAGCTACTGTGTGTAAGAAATTCCATCCATGTTCTGTTATCTTTTTCAACATATTCAAACCCACAGTATGAAAATTCCAATGCAACTTTTACTTCTTTAATGCATGCAGTCGGAAGTGAGGCATGGTTTAAAAATTGTTCTTGTCACAGGTGACACACAATTCTCATAAAAACCATACCATATCATCTGTACAGGGGCTAACATTTATATTTTAATATACTTTCCACTCTAGCAAAATGTTCAGGCTGCAGATATAAGCAGCTTAATTTCAAACTGGGTTTAAATGTGTTAAGATCTGCTTTCCATGTGAAGCTTCTGCTGTCACCAGACAATGATCATAATGTAAGAACTAACAAGATTAAATCTAAGTCACAAATTTGTCAAATAATTATACAACTTCTTAGGTTTTCTTCATTCTATGAAGTCAAGAACACCTTATGGACCTGTCCGAGTCTGTCTGTCGTGTTCTTCCTACAGATGTAGGAAACCTCACATTATCAGTACCAACAGCATGAGATACGCTATATTCCTTTTCCAGAGCTCCTCAAAGGATATAATCCTGCAGTGATTTAGTAATAATTTTAACTGCAACTGCAGAAGTTATAATGCCAAAGTGAGCAAATCTGGTTCATTTCTGCTAAACAAGAAACAAACCACACTCCTGCCAACAGTGGGGGGGGGGGGGGGGGGCGGGGGAGGACAACAAATGAACTGGGTGTTACTTGTGTGAAAATGGAAACCCCTGGTCCCCGCTGTGCAACACATAACTCAGATCTCATCAGTCCAACGATGACCTACGTGATTTGGCATCATTATTACCAATAAATTGACAGTGTACTCCAAAGAATTCACCTTTCCAGTCTTATTAACTCATCCTGAGATACAGTATCCCTCTCTGCTTCTATCTTATAAGTCCCATTAACTATGGGGAGTTCAAGGTTATAACTAACTAACTAGGTGGCTTAGGGAACCCGAAGGTTCATCACCGAATTAACCAAAGCCCTCCATCAGACCCTGTCCTGGGCCAACAAAATCCAGTCTCCTTCAACTCCTATCTCTCATAGATCCCGCCTGAGATTATCCATCCATCTACGTCTAGGTCTCCCCAGCAGTCTAGTTCAAGGTTATATGAGTTTCAAATCTGAGCATTTGTACACCCCTATTTTTAATTAAGAATTACTATTTCTGACTCCACTTAGCAGAGACTGGGATGGTTGTAAAACTATTTTTATTTACATTTCTACATGTTAGCAGCATCAATGTGAGCACCAAAGCCTGACATGTTATTATTCCACACTCAAGATGCCATTCTTGTATCCACTCATTTTACTAGGAATACACCAATAATGATTACTGGGCAAACCATTTCCAGTCTTAAAACTCATTTTCTATTAAGTTTATCTTTAAAATTTTTAATGCAGACTCACTTTGTTTCAAGGTCTAAATCATGGCCGACTCTTTCATGAAAAGAACAGAAAAGGGAAACATCAACTCATTCACAGTAAGGTAAAATCATATCCTTCAGTGATGAGCCAAAGATGACGAGGGGAGGGGAAGAAAAAGACCACCACCACCAATAAAAGGACAAACAGAAAGAATCAAAGTCTGTGTGTTTTTGATTGGTCTATCTAGAACCATCCCCGACAATAAGCTTAAGAAATTAAAATATATAATAAAATTCAGGTCAATACACAAACTTTATTTAGATGTTAAAATTTAAAATTTGCGCCATTCATCGCTACAACGATGTTACAATAGAGCGCTTTCTTCACTACATGTTTCGATGTGAAGCATCATCTTCAGGTATTATCCTTTAAAACTACTTTATATTACAATGCATGTCTTTCAATTTATTCGTCCGTTTTGTTCATTATTGTAGCATGTGTTCCGCTGATCCTCCCGTTTTATGCATCCTATGTTTGTTTTTGATTATTCTGTAAATAAAATTAATAAACTTGGGAGTTATTCATTTATATGTAAATAAGTTTGGAATATTGTTTTATATTTGTAACATGTAATACCTGAAGATGATGCTTCGCATCGAAACATGTAGTGAAGAAAGCGCTCTATTGTAACATCGTTGTAGCGATGAATGGCGCAAATTTTAAATTTTAACATCTAAATAAAGTTTGTGTATTGACCTGAATTTTATTATATATTTTAATTATAAAACACAAACATGACGCATTTAAACCTTAAGCTTAAGAAAGTTTAGATGTGATGCAAGAATTGACCACATGAGAGCTACATGCCAGGTTAACATTATTTTGAATGTCATAATTATGAGAAAGAATTTTCAGAGAGCAAATCGCTAAAAATAAACAAATGATAATTGGTAATATCTTGTAACAAGAGGTCAAATAACTTCTTGAAACTGTATATTATCTTCTTGTAAGTGAACTTCAAAAATACGAAATAAGCAACTGTGAATATTATTATGTACTGGTAATGCATGTGACTACATCCCACATGAGAGGTTGTCACAAAAAGCTCTCCTTTGAATATATTATACTATATGCTATACTATGTGTACTAGATGTTCATTAAAAGTACACTCAGATTCTTATGTCCCTTGCAGGCACTTACAAATACAGCAATGAACCTTTAGGTTCTATGAAAGGTTGAGAACTTCTTGACTACCTTTGCCTACTGTCAGCTTCTTAAGATGAAGTCTGCTATGAAGTTACTTATTATGTTCCTTAATATCAAGGAGTCTTGTCACAGACTCAGTTTCTAACCTACTACAACAAGTTAACCTCACTTAATGGTACCTGCACCTTGTCGTGGTGGTGGGGCTTGAGTACCTCAGTGACCCCAAGAGCTACTGGTAGGGCCTCCCTAGCCAGATTGGTCGAGGGGGGGAGGTCAGACTAAGACAGGTCCCTGGTCCTCCAGGTTGGGGGTTGGTCGCAAGGCTAACAACCTTGCACCGTAAAAAGGAAGATGTTTCAAAACCTCAATCAAAGCCTCAGATAGACGGACCTAACAGAGGACCGAATGGAAGAGGAGAATTGAGGAGGCCATGGACCGAATACGGAGCGGAGAGCCATAGAAGAAGAAGAAGACAACAAGTTAAACAAAACAATTAAATAGTAAGATATTTGACAACCAACCAAAATTTCCCCTACTGTGAACAGTTTTACTATAACACTTGTTGTATCAGTGAAACAATGGGACTGTTGGCATGGTGCGCAATTGTTTTTCTCTTCTGTTGAAAGACATGTTTAATTAATACTGAGAATATAAGTAGATGTTACTGAAAAGACAATGAAAGTTAACATGATTCTACACACATATAAGATTCATTAAACATTAAGTCATATGAACTATGCTAAAATATACTAACAGAAAGAAATTACTGAACTATTGATATTTCCTATAAAAGTTTTAAATGAATGAGATTAAACTTTTAATGTCATGAAGAAACAATAAATTGTCACACTACAAAATCTGCATCAACAATAAATGATGAAAACAAAATTTCAATAAAAATAATTGCACTCCAAATCTCAGTATACCTTTCTAGTCTTGTTTTATATACAGCAAGAGAAGTATCAAACTATAAAATTATTTAGAAGGATTTTGTTTTCAATATTGCTTAGAATAATATTATTTGTCATTAACTGCACATAAATTACAGACTAGGGTATGAACAAAGTAGCTTGTGAGCATAATAAATAAAGGTTAAAAATGTCAGAAAACAGCACACATTTACACATATTCTCACTGCCCAAATGGCAATCTCTAAAATATTTTGTACATCAATTCTCACTAACAGATAAATGAAGAATAAAATAAAAATTCTGAAACAAACTGCTTGTAAAATTTTACAATCTTTACCTTTCTTGTAGCAATTTCCCAATAAGAATCACTTCTGTATTTGGAAGTTCTTATAAAGGTGAGTCAAAACACCCGTTCTCTGCCAGATGCAGTCTATGAATCAATTGGTCTCTGCCTGTCAAGGTCTTTGCAAAGACACAGACAGGATCGTGCGGAGACCAAGTCCAGCAGAGACCGCATCCGTCAAGAAGGTGTGTGTCAGAGACCGTATCCCGGTTAACTCAGAAACCCATGTTCTGTATTCTAATTCATTTCCTGGTAGTTCACTCGCTGTCATCCTGTTTCATAACCAGTGAGAATATTCTCGTCTTGATAGGACCACCACATAAATCTAGTTTCATAAGCAGTGCATAACAAAAACAAGTTTTTTTAAGAACAATATCACCAGAGACATACAATGGACAAATACACAATTTTCTGTTTAAGAGATGAGAAGGAATATGCCGCATTCTTTCAGCAAGATGGTGCAATCATCCTTAGAGCCAATAATTCAACAGCCATCTTATGAAACATTTTTGGGAACTGAATGATTAGTTGTGGCTGCTGATTCACTTGATAACATGACTATTATTTGTGGAGAAGATTGAGAGACAAAGTTTATCAAAACAATCTCCACGGCGAATTAAATTAAAGAAAACTTCTGGGAAGCAGTAATGCCACTTTCTAGAAAACTTCATAAAGGTTCACCAGGTGTCAAGCACGCCTGAGAATTTAAGGAGGTAATTACCAAGATCTGTAGTGAAAATTGGTCACAAAACATGCCTTTAAGCATTACTTTCAACACCACTGTTCTGAACATAGCTACTGCTACTCCTAACAAACTGTACTAAACCTTCACTGTATGTAAATAAGGGATTTAAGCTCCCAGCCAGACTTTAACATACCAACTGAATATCTCTAAAGCCATAATGCAAGGCCAATGAAGATTAAAATGTGTAATAAATATGTAGTTGTCTTATTGCTGGCTGGAAGTGGATGTCAACTATCAATGTCATATTTTTACACCTTTATTTTTTAAGCTCACTTCACTACACCCAGAATTCACCTAAAACTGATGCGGTAGTTTAAACATAAAAGCAGATAATTTTAAAAAGTTAATGCCATTACATATATACTTATCAATAACCATCACAAAAGAAATGCTAACAAAATGACTACCTTTGCTTCCGTTCTGCACCTAAGTACAATTTCCTACTGCTGCTTTAAAAATAAGTTTATATGATTACTATATATCTTATTGTGTAAGTGGTTCTCAAATTGTCATTAATTGTGAAAATTCATGCTTCTGCAAGTGATTACAGATTCCCCATAACAAAAGGAGACAAAATAAGTTGTAAATGTAAACTCAGGACTAAAGAAATAGACAAAACATGCTAATGTTTGCACAGGTAGTCTTGAACCTTATGCATAAAAATATAAATATTACCATATCACAACGCTATAGCTGGGAAAACATGAGCTACTGATAAGTGATAATTCTAGATGAAGACTGTACTTTTTATGATGAAACGTGTAACACATATATAGTTGATTAATGAACCAAGATAATAATACTTATTTTCCATGCAAAATACAAAATATTTCAATGCAAATAAGGTTATCTTCAGGCTGTATGTATGTGTGTGTGTGTGAATGGAAAACTTTTTTGCAAATCAAATGGAATATATTTTATACAAGATTTTGCACTAAATTTGGTTAGAAAATGAAAAAATGACAACTTCACATATCAATTATCTCAATATACATACAAAATTTCTCATATATAATGAATAAAATTGGTTTCTATGGGAATAAGTTTTTAGGTCTTCTTGTTATGAAAACTTTTCAATTGTTTACATTCTTAATGGTGTAGTGCAGGTTAGTTTTCTCCTGTGCCTGTTACCATTGGGGTTGGGTTTTGTTGTGGCTAGCCTGCTGTAAATAGAATGGCTGATAACCCATAATCAGTACAGATTTCACTCCTCATTGACCAACATGTCAGTATATAAAAGAAAGTGTTTGTCTGCGTGTAAAAAAATTAACTAATCATCTATAGTTTCAACTCTGTGGCAGAAGAAAGAACAAATTTTATCTATATTTGAGATGAATCTCACAAGGTGGGGGGGGATGAAAATATGGGTTTGACAACATTGACAAAGTATTACTGGAATTGTTTAAGGTGTAAAGGGATGTTGATTTCCCAATCGATTGAGGCAGAAAAATTTGCAGTGCAATTAAAACATAAGAACTACAGTTGCAGCAATGGATGGTCCAAACGTTTTAATAATCGTCATAATAACATTTATTCTGAAATCGGTGGAGACAGACAGCAAGTGAAATGTGTGAAAAGTGTTTCAGGGGAGTGTAAGAAAGGATGCACTGAAGAAGAAATGTATAACACAGATGAAAATGGACTCTTTTACAACATGACCCTTAACACAACTTTAAAATTTAAAGGAAAAAAAATGGCAGAACCTAAAAACTTTTAACATTTGTTGTAATTTCATATGTGATTTTTGAACACATTTTTTTATGTTCCTGCATAGCGAATAACAATTATAATGAATAAAAATAATCTGTCCCACTGCACTCACTATAACCAAGTTTTACTTTACAAAAAGTTAAGAGTTTTTTCAAGAGGTATTGGTTAATTTCTTCAGAAAATTCAAAATTTCAGGAAATATATTTTCAAGCTAAAATTTTAGTTGAGGTGTCAAAAACCACTTAAATTCCCCACAAAACTGTGTAAGAAACAGCAGACATGTGACAAGCCAGAAACCTAATGGTGTTCCAATTTATCAGTCCTTCCTCTATTAAATAATTTTCTTCATCAAAACAAAAAACGTAGACAAAATAACATACTGACAGAATGGTCCCAAGGCAGAAAACAGTTTAAGAACCACAATTATATACACCGACAACATACGAAACTAATACTGAGCCTACAGTTCCATATATTTTGATGTGTATCTCACTGGTTAACAGCATTTTACTTCAAAACATAGAAGGTTACAAATGTCTAAGTAATAAAAAATATATTAGTGTATAAAATTCATATTATCAATTTATGTAAAATATAAAAACAACAGATTAATGGCCCAAAGCAAAACCATGATGGTAATATCATCTTATCAGAAACTTTTATAAACATTAAATTAGATAGCCTGTACAGGAATTACCTATTGTGGGTATAAAATAATTAACCTGTTAAGGATCAGAAGCCAATATCATGACAATAATAATTTAATTTTTGTTTGTACTTATCTGTGATGCCATCCCTGAAAATTTTTGTATGGCTTTGATATTTCATATGCAGGTGACATGGTATGCAAATAGTGAATTCAACAATATTTTGAAACAAAACTATTCCTTTTATCCAAGAGTAAATTTTACAGACAAAATAATGGTACACACAAGGAATCACCTGTGTTAGGCAACAATGCTAAAATATTGTTGCATGAGCTGGAACAAGAGAATATTGAGAAAGTAATGAGAGTGGAGAGGAAACAATGGAACAAATAAATAAAAAATTTAACATCTGCAGCAACAACAAAACCTACATTAGTAAAAGAAGAAGATTGCAAAATAAATTACTTTGACCACACAGTACACAGTTTTAGAAAAAGAAACAGGAATAAAATTTTGAATATGTGAACCCTTCACTTATATTATGCAAAATCTTTATAACAGTATGAATTATACTTGTATATGTGTATTGTATTATTTTGACTTATTCCACATCATATTGTCATCTAGCTAATTTATGGATCCACGAAATGTAATGAAGATGAACAGACATACAAACCCACATTCAGAGATATAACGATAAACAAGAACTCTTGTCATCCACATGATTATAAGAAAGCAGTACTCAAACACATGCTAGATAGAACACAAAGCATACCGCCTGAGAAAGCAGAGATGAACAAGAAATTAAACATAAAAAGAAAACAATACAAAACAACAATCACAATGACTATAAACCGAACCAACTCCCTGGTATCAGAACCTGCAGGTTCAACACCGACAACACCACAGCCTACCACAGTCCACAATCCTGAGCCAACTCCATCCATTTGCCATCCTCAAAGCCCACCTATCCAAGATCCATCTTGATGTTTCCTCCCATCTCTTTCTTGGTCTGACCAGTGGTCATTTTCCAGGATTTCTCATCAAAATTCTGTATGCACCCCTTGCCTCCCCCCTGCTTGTTACATGTCCAGCCCCTCATTATGTCATATTCTAAATTTCCCGCTTATTCATCCCTCCTATGTCAAAAAATATCTTCCTGAGCACCCTGTTTTCAAACACTTGTAATCCATGTTCCTCCTTCAAAGTAAGGGACCATACTTTACAACCATACAAGATAATATGCAAAATTGTTTTATACATCCTGATCTTCAATGTTTTGGATAGTAAATGAGATAATAACAGTTTTTGAATTGAATAAGAACAAGCATTCCCTGAATGTATTCTACTCTTAATTTCACCATGAACCTCATTTATGTTTGTTATTGTTGTTCCCAGCTGGTTAAAATTAAGATATTTTGGAAATAAAATCAGGACAGCACAAAGATATTCCAAAATGCCAATATAAAACCAATATGTAAAGCAAATAACATCTTATGAAGACATGAATTTATAAAATAGGAAGAAGTTGACAAGTACAAGCAAAGTGTAACAAAATATACGCACAATCGACTGGGAAGGATTTCAAGGCCCGACACGAGGAGTGTATAAACAACAAAAACAAGAGGATAAACTCAAAACATGAAAAACACGTGAGCTGGAAACACAGCATAAATAGGTAATACAGAAGAAAACATAGACATTCAAGAAGATAATACCAAAATGAAGGAACACTGATATCTGGAAACATATTTATATATACAAATTCAATACAGAAAGAACTACCCTAAACAATCAACTTACTAACAGAACAACATACTTTCCAAGTCAGCACAAAACAAGAGAAAGAGAAACACAAAAAATACACAATAAATCACAAATATGACAGAGATGAGAAAGATTCAGAATCAAAGTGGCACTAAAGGTCACTGACTAAGCTGAAATGCATCTACAAGTAAAATGTTGCAATAAAAGTGTTGTGATATCCATAGTTGAACAATTACAAGAAACAAGCTTTCTGTGCACATTTCATCCTGCAAAGGTAAGTGTTCTGAACTGATCCTTCCTGAGAGGCAGACCAAAGTACAAACATCGTGTGAAACGTGGCACAACTGGGTATAAATAATTCTGAAGTTATTAAAAAGTGTTTTGACTTCACGTTACACTGTATCAAATTAATTGGGAATGTCTTTAGGTGAATGGGTAGATTGGAAAGTCGGTGATTTTCAGCTATTTTTGAGGTGCTATCCCATTATTTTCCTAAAGAAAATAATGTAAACCCTATCGCTATGGTTAGTAATTCATCCAAGCCTCAAACAGAACCTTCCAAAAGCACAAAAGCAAAACTAGATGTTACTGTTACAAAGACTAAGATAAGACACACAACAGAACAACTAAATCTGAAAATATATCATAAAGAAAGATACAGTATATGAGCAATGAAGGATAAAAGCTGTGAAAATAAGAAGTGACAGTTTGGACGTGATGATTCAAATACCAAAACGCCTGTTCCTGGTAACAACACATTCTGTTTGGCTAATATATTTAGTTACAAATAATTCGCAAAATGTGACATAATTTTTCCATTCCCCTCTAGGCCATTAATCTGATCAATTAATCCTTCTAATAGCTCAATGTACAACTTTACTTACAGTCATGATTAATTGCAAAATGCCACATATTAAGTAGATTTACTAATGAATATAAAAATACAATATTTACAATCACATTCCTCTTTTTTTTTAAATTCAAGATATGATTAGATTTGGTTATTACCTTTCATTTCTTGATGTTAGACTAAAAATGTATTTGTGTTGATAAGAAAAAGCCTCTAAAACTTTAAAAAAAAAATACAGAGGTTTTTGTAATTACAAGAATGGTACACAATTCCTTTACTTCATAAGCAGTGTGATGCAAGAATAATCAGGATCAGCTAGTAAAGCATGGAGACTTAGTCTCAATATTCAGAGAGAACATTTGATAAGAAAAAGACACATTCCTCTAGATCATCTCAGGTACATTACAGAAAAGTTTCTAAATTTTAATTTGATCTTTTTAAATTTTCATTTGTGTAAAACGTAAACTTGTCCCTTTTCCAAACATTACACCACAAGAGACATATGAATGAATGGAGGTAAAGCCCTACACTATGGCCACTTTATCACTACGGAAAGAACCCCCAGAGGGTGGATGAGATAGTAAAGAGAAAAACCCTGCCCTTGCCAGGAGTAAAACTAATCATCCACCACACAGGTACTCATTTTACATACTGATCGACCTATCCTGCCTCATTTACTTTGATTATCATAAAAAAACTGGCATTTTTTTCTCATACGAAGATTATAATTCACAATTTTTGGCTTGTTTTGAGTACTTGTGTACCCCCTGTGAATCATTCCCCATTTTCACCATTTGTACGAGCCAACAGACACTTAAACATAGTTTTATAAACTGGCTGTAAATTAGTTTAAGATATAGACATTTTTATGAGGCATAAAGCTGTGATTTCTTGTGAAAACCCTGGAGGTATTCTGAACAATCTTGCTGCTATCTAAATCTTATAAAAAAACTATCACAAAATTTCACAAAAACATCTGTATCTCTTCCTTGGCACAGTCGAGCAATAGAATGAAAGACAAACAACAAAAAAGGTGTAATCTTGCTTAGCAGCACATTCTTGTCCGTTCTGCTTCTGCATGTACCACTGATGTCCCTTGCAAGGAATACTGATTTTGTACGCTTCCTTCCGATAAGGAGCCCTTTCCAACATTCGAAATGGGACTCGCTGGGTCAGACGAGTCATAGATCCTCAGACCGGGGCACACAGAGTCCCTGCTTAATCGAATGAGCCGTATGGCTGTACTGAGAAACACATCTTCTATTCCTGTAGACACAAACATGACATTAACATGGTCCAAACAATAAGTTGCTACTCATCACAAATCACATGTCAAAAATATTATTAATATGCAGAGTTCATATCATTATCTTCAGTGTCCATAAGACACATACACCTATTTGAAACTCTAGTTTCATCTTAATACAGGCCTGCCAATACCTCAAAAACAGTTCAGGCTCATATTTCAGTATCTGTTTTAGTACCAATTCAGTTATCATTCTGCCTGTATGCTGCTTCCACTTGTATTTAATATTATCACTTTTATCTTAGATTAAAATATATGATTATATATAATTTCATAAGAGCTCTGTACTGCATGTTGGTATTTATGGTCCCTGAATTTTACTCAGAGCTCTGTACTGCATGTTGGTATTTAATGTCCCTGAATTTTACTCCACACACACACATATTTTGTATCCATGTTAACAGACCAAAGAACAAAACTGGAATTCCCACAACCTCATAAAATTAAAGTTTCCTTCATCACCTTATATTTAGAGCTGTTGTACACATTTAAATAAAGATTTATATTTTACAATGTTATTATTACCATAATTATCACATTCATAAGAATATCACAACCTATATGACATTTATTCCAGTATTTCTTCAACAAATTTTTACTCTAATATAGATCTTATGCCCAATGTTTTACATCTCGGTTATGTTTCTGGATGTCTCATAACTGATGACCTGGGAGCAACACTGGGCTGACATACACCTTTTAAATATGACAAAAATGGAGATTTGTTACATATGATTGCACTAATTCTACTTTGTAAGATTCTGAAAGACACACAGTTGAAGACAATAAATGTATATTGAAAATGCATAAAATGACATTGTGTACATCGCTCCCTGTTTTGGACTTGGAAAATTATGTTTGATTCTTTTTACACAGAGTGTACAACAATTTTATATCTGTTGAAAGTGGTGTCTCCAACACTCAAGCATCACACGAATGCAACAGATTTTGTGACATATACTTAAGTTCATTTTCTGTGATTTTATAGTTCCAGACTTAGATCTAAATGCATGCAAAAAATTGGGGCTACATCTATGAAGCTTTACGGTTCCAGTTTCCTCAGAGAATCTTAGGTCCAAATCTTTTATGACAGAGTTAACTAAGACAGTAGTATGTAAAAATACTATACAACTTCACTCTGAACAATTAATAATAGGATAAAAGACCTGCTGTATTTTCTGTAGAATATACTTGAACACACCTTAAAAAATAATCGCAAGAGGACTTCAGTCTTATGACCCGTAGATTTGAAAGTATGTAATTTTTATCGCTGGATAAGTTTAAGCAGAAAGTTTACAGAAATAATTCTCATGCTTTGAAAGCCTTGAAGGTATAAAATCAGGAACCATAATTTAGACACAAGCTCAGAATATACACAAATATCCTCATGCGTTCTTTGCGATGTGGCATTAAATCTGCCTTGTTCGATAGTTCCCACTTTGGCCACCAGATCACAGCACCTCAATGTCTACCTCATAACTTTCTTCACCTATCATTTTATCATCACTGCTTATACGATATTCAAAAGTATGACTTTGAGACTGTGCAGAATAACACAACCTCCACATCAAAGTTCATCCAAATCCATCCACTGGTTCTTGAATTGAATCGACTGGAAAGGCAGACAGACATGACAAGCCCATAATGTATTCTCGCTAAGCCCTTTGTGCAAAGAACACATAATAATGAAAGGTGAGCTTAACATGACATGTTATAAATGAGTTCAGAGGTTAAAGACATTACATGTTAACAAGTGTTGTCATATTACAATAAAGACAATGCATCTACTTAAAAACTTTACCGTCGCTAATGGATCACTCAGCCCACGTAGTACTATTTTTCTTATGCAGAACCTATCATTTATGTCATAAGTCCTTGTTGGCGACATCCAGTGCCCCATATCGAGCACAACTATGACTCGAACAAAATCAGACACTCAATTTAAAGTTGTAAATGTCCACTCTAAACAAAATACTACCTTCATCATGAAGAGCAGATGACTCAAAGTAACTCCCACCAATAGAAGCTGCATACTGTACAGCCTCTTCTGTTGGGACCTGCCGTTGAGACTCAAGGTCTGTCTTATTCCCAACAACACTCAGAACCAGACACTCCACAACATTGCGCTGCAGTTCTAACAAAGGCAATACAACGGCTTCATGATTATCATTAACATAAACATGATTGGTTCCAGGTCATTTAATCCTTTTCATGACAAATTTTATTTCTTCCGTTAGTATACCGTCAAGGTAACTTATAATTTTTAACGTCAAAAAGCCATGATGGGTTACTTTCAACTGCTGAGAAATGGCAGGACACATTTCACTGACTTATAAAGCCAACAATTAAATCCAGACCAAATGAACCAATGCTTTTAACCTTTACAGAATAGCAAACAAACAAACAAACAGGAGATGTAAAGCCCATAATACAGGTGTGCTGAACAGGCTTTTAAGTACATATGCTGTGACACATGGCGAATATAAGTGAAATAAAATATCTTTTATCATGGAAAATTTTAAAAATTTATCAAGTGCAGAGCTTATTCAGCAATAAATGAAATGAGACGATGATTATGAACAGTAACCACGAAAGGAGTGAGTACACAGTTGTCATGGTCTACTGCACTGTACTATACTGGAATTTTCCAGAAAAACCTGAGGAAAACCATAAGTAACATGACATGAGTGGTGAATAAATCTGCTTTGTAAAGATATGCTTTTTTCTCTCTTGGATGTTAGCAGAGCTACACAATATGCTTTAGAATATTTTATGTCACAGCAGGACAATGAATTCAAGGATCTAATAATATACTTCAGCCATGAATAGTGAGTAGGGTTTACAATGAGACAGTCATGGATTATTTCAAGATACTCTCCCTGCATTTACTGGAACAATTGAGAAAATCCATGAAAAATTTAAACTAGGACTGCTTATAATCCAGCTGAGAATCAGACTTGGTGCTACTTGAGCACAAGAAGAGTGGTACTGTTACAATAAACCACTCAGTCTTTCATTAGTGCATTAACAATATACTGTGCTGTGTTATAAACTGTAAAATCCTGTGGTCCTACAACATGAATATTCTGTGCCCAAAAACTAGGTAACATGCTTCACTAATCCTCATGCCAAGAAGATGTATGGCTGGGGTGGAGGTACAGCTAAGCGACAGGCGATGTGTACATACTTTAGAACCAAAATCACAAAAACAATCTTCAAATAATTACAATCAAATCCAATTTCATGAAATAAATTTCAACAAACAATCCAAAAATTAATAACAACGGATTCCTAACCTCAACCGTGTACTTAATTAAGCATCGCACCATAAAGATATATGGAGCAGGGAGGCATAGCTTGACACATTCTTAACCTCAACCTTATGGTTAATTAACCCGTTTAAGACCAATGGCTCTTTAACATATTTAGATGCAATATAATTAGGCTTCTACAGTAAGATGGTAGTAAAAATATTCATAGTTCATTAATCTGTGCAACAATTATAAATTTGCTTAAAATAACTGCTTCCTTTCCAGATTATCTGAGCCCTTTTCAGCAGACACAACAACTGCTCCCTGGTTTCCTCTCTTAACACACATACTCTGCCCACTACAATACAAAAGGCTGTAAATAGTTTAAGCCCCTTGGTGTTCCCATGGTGAAGCAAGATGTGTGCAGTCTGAGAACAGCTAAGTTGCTCTGTTAAGCACACCAACTGGACACATTACAACACTGCTTCCATGACAGTAACAGACCTACTACTGCCAGATACCAGTAGCTAATTTACAGACCAATTAACCAGCCAATTAATTTACTGTTTGACTGTGTTGTAATAGAATAACATTTTCAACATCAGTAAAATCAAGTGTTACCTTGCCAGTGGACCTTATCCTCAGCAAAGAACTTTTATTAAAACATTTCCACGTGAACTATTTTCAAAAGACCCGTGAGCTAAAGTCTATTAAAACATCAGAGAGACCACAGGAAAAGGCAAAGTGAAGTTACATGTGTACACGCAATGTCTAACATTATATTCTACTGAAGTTACTGACACAATCGATGTGCCCTCAAACACAAGAATTTCTATGAATTGCTGGAATATATTCCACAAGAATGTTACCTACAACAAAAGAGTTCAGGTACTTGTTCCATTACCTCTACAAATATATCACACACTTCACACTACATTATAGTACTATTACTAATAGATCACTTCTTTAAGTATTTAACAACTCTATTTCAACTACAGAGGTTATGTAACGGAATGCCTGTGAATGACAAATTGCAAAGGATATGAAAGGAAACCAAAATGGCCACTTTATATCATTTTAGTATTTGCCTGAGAGCCCACACAAAAACATGAAAACCCCCAATCAGAAAATGCAGTCTCTGGTATCAGAATCAAGCATTTAGTGGTATTAGTAGTGATTCTGGAAAAGCTGTGATATAAATAAACTACATTAAATTCTACTGGTAGGAGGGGGGAACCTGTCTTTTACAAACCAAATAAGTCACTTTTGAAATTTAAATACATAACTTGTGCCATTGCAGAATATCAAACAGGTATATGTTAAATGAAGATGGCCTTCTGTTGTGTTGTAGCACCTGTAGTCAGGTAGAAGTTTACCAACATTTCAGAGGGCCTTGCTGCCTCCATCATAAGGATTACCCTGATGATGGCAACAGCAAGGACCTCTGAAACATCGGTAAACTTCTACGAGACTACACAGCACTATGAACCTGAAGACAGCCATCTTTTTAATCACTAACACGAAAACCTCAAATCCTTCTTAGGTATGCTATAACTAATGTCAACACATCATAACAGCTACCAGAGCAAAGATTCATTATTTACATTACTGATTTAATTCTGCTACCATAAACATACCTTTCACCCAGACCTTCATGGCCTCAAATGTATAATATTGTGTGATATCAAATACTATGAGTGCAGCATTGGCATTCCGATAATACATGGGAGCCATGGAACGGAATCTTTCCTGTCCAGCTGTATCCCAAACCTTGCAACAAAAAATACTGCAATTAAATATATTTACAAGTATAAAACATGTCCCTACATATAAGTGTGACAATGAACATACCTGTAACTTAACACGCATATCTTCAACATTTAATTTGCAAGTGAAAAATGATGCACCAATTGTTGGGCTCATATGACGACTGAACATCTTGCCAACATACCTCACAACCAGGCTAGTTTTGCCAACACCTAGAATTATATAACACACTATAAGTCCTTGTGTTCTTAATCAACACTTTAATTGTATTTACATTGTATATGGTACTTACACAATAAATATAAAAACAAAAGGAAACATGCACCTGCTTTATACTAAGGAACTCTCTAATTTTATGTTGATATTGGTCTTCTGGGTAGTGACACCATATGAACTTATACGAGTACGAATCAGCTAACTAGACTCAATGCTAACTCCCATTAACCCATTCAAAAATGTTATGCATTCACAAACGTACATGGCGTAACTACCCAGACTCAATGCTCCATTCAAAAATGTTATCTATCCACAAATGTATATGACGTAACTACTTAGAACACCACCGACATCGATATCTTCAACCTCAAATCTCGTACCAATTTCACGATAATCTTTGATTGTAAGATTTTATCATACCACTATCTCATTATATTATAGGTACATAGTACTGTTGTGTAGTATTGCCTACCTTGTGCTCCAAGTACCACAATTTTTCCTTCAATGGTTCTCATTTTATATCACGGCGATACAACCCTTTTGTAGATACTTAAAACATCTTATTTTACTACAAGCAGGCAAGAAATATTCCAAACTTCAATTCTATAACGTATTTTGACAGAACACTTACATAACAACTAACCAAAACGTGCGTAACTTTGTCACTGTGACGGAAACATCCTCCACTTTACTAACCAAGTAAATTTCCCCTTGTACGACAACAGTGCCATCTACAGGGGAAAGTCAGAAGTAATACCTACGACACCAGTGACACCTATATAATTATTTCATAGTATTTGTCGTCGTCAGACAGAACACTAAAATAAAATAAATAATTTGTCTTTAAACAATCATCTTCCGCAATTATTATCAATATTGAGAAAAAACATCATGGACGCAGACACAGATCCACAGCTTAAGCGAGACTGGACTGGACAATTTCATGATAAATCGTCGAGTCATCTCAATTCTGTAAAGACAGCACAAATTTTAACGCTCAGTTTTCATATCAGAACACGATATTTTTCATGTAAATTCATGACAATATGACATTTTACGCTAAAATAAATGCTTCAGTTGTTTCAAGGTTACAACAACTGAGGGGGAAAAAAACAATATAAAGCCTTGTGTTTGGACTGCGTGCAAACCACATATTTTATTATGTTCAGTGCCCTATTGCAACACGACATTTAAGCACAGGTCTATATTAAACAAATTACATAGATTTAATTTTGTTTTAGTGTGTAATAACAGTGAACAGTGAAGCCTTAATATTGATTGTTTAATTATTGTTTGTCTTTGACTTCTCACCAGTCTGATTATCAACTAAATGTGGGTCATACCAGTTCCATAAAGATTTCAGATTAAAACAGCACATTTCCATTAAACCACAGTTTCCAGTTTTATGAAACCGATTAATTTATTTGGCCCACATAATATTGAAGAGTTGTATGTTCGTTTTTTTTATAATAGAAGAGAGTTACATTTATTCTGCATCAGAAGAAATTTATTTTCATGAATTATCTCAAATGAAGAAGTTTTAAGGCAGATGTGAATTTAGAATCGAGTGACAGACAAATACTCCAGCTGAGGCGAAGGTAGAGCTGAACGAATGCTGACAACCTGTAGCCTAGGCTCAGCAAAGTCACATACCAGGGGGTCGGTTTATAAACCGAATCAAATTACATCGGTTCGTCTTCGAACGTCTTTGGTGACAGGCTTAAATTACTTCTTTCTTTCTTTCTTTCTTTCTTTTGGCTTTGTACATCGTCTACATTTTTTAAGAAATTTAAAGTCTCGAAACTTTAAAAACCGGATCCAACAGAATAAGTATCCTCCCCTTTTATAACTGAAGACAAATGGCGATATATCGAAACGCAGTCACTTTTAAGGTTTTAATACTGTTACGACTTTTGAAAAAAAAACAACAGACGATTAACTAAAAGAATCGAACCTGGTAGACAGACCTCAAAATGTTAAAAATCCTACATATGTATACACACAAGGTTAATATTCCGTTTCATGGTGTGTATACGACGTCTTTTTTGTACACTCGGTAAAAAAGTTGTCAGTGGAACCATGGTTCCGGAGAATTAGACGTAAATACGTCTATACGGAAAGGAAGTTTATATATTGGCTTTATTCTAAATATTTCCTTTGTACATGCTTTACAATTGAGTAAAGTTTGATTAAGACATTGCTTATTTAATTTGAATTAGTTACGCTTAAGATGGGTCTGTGGTAGCTGAATGTAATGTAATGTAAAGTAAGGTAAGGTAAGATAAGGTAAGGTAATGTTTTATAGGTAACAACAATGCCGAGTAAACAGATGACGTTTCCTTGGTAACAAAAATGCCGAGTAAATAGATGTTTCCTAGGTAACCATTATTGTCGATTTGTTGATAAACAGATGATGTTTCCTAGGTAACCATCTTACACATTTTCGTCACACTTTCTTGCGGAATGACACTGACCCTAAAATATAGACGTATTTACGTCAAAAAATAGGCCTTATAGGTTGCAGTTTGAAAGATGTTATTATTCCAGTTGTTGGTCCTTAATTATGTTTGACTTAAGCAGATTGTAATTTTATCAGAACCATTTTAGCGATATCGCAGCTGAGACCAGATCATCACCGAAGAACGAACCAGAAAATAAAGAATATTGCCCCATAAAATGTAGCGTCAATTAGTGGTCCTTCCACATGTGACATAGATATCTTCAATATTGCTGGTATGTTAAGAATTTGTCGCAAGAGGGGGGGGGGTGGTCTAATCACGGCTTTGGAATGATTTGTGGCCACTGCAGAACGGGGCACGGAAGTATCGGATGGTGGCGCCAACATCGCATCCTGGAAGTTGCCACGTCGCCCTGCAGACAGACTGAATGATCGGCTAACTGTCGCGTTAACGTTCCAAATACATTTTGTCCGACTTTCTAATCCCTCTGTGGTGATTACATTCGTTTACTGAAGACATAACATCATTTATTTCGTCTTGTGTTAAAATGTGATGACAGAAAATGTCACTTAAAGTTCGTAACGCGGAGGACAACAATTAGGGTTATTGTTGATTGTTAAAATGGTTTCGATTTGGGGTTTTTTAATGGCAGAAGCGAGGAAACAGGGACACTCGGGAGACCCTGATTGAGACTGAGATTGCGAGGGGCCTTAAGAGAGAAAAATTACGCGTAACACATTTTTGAAAATTTCAATTACTATAACTTTAATTGGTTTTAAAACTACATCTCTGGAAGTGACTCAGACCATTCATGCAAGTTTCACATTTTACAGGTAATTATTACATTAATTATATTACACATTGTCTTCAAAGGTGAGAAAGTTAGTTTATGTCATAATCGTAATTAAAAATGGTTTATTCTTTGTTGTAACTTAAATCTGACTTCTCTGAAAAGCTGTGGTGAATCTGGAAAACTACTAATTAGTATAAACAAAATTTTCACTCATCCTAAAAATATCTTTTCCTGCTTTTTCAGAAATTGAATGAACCCTAGATTCCTGTTTTGTCCTAAGCTGAAGTTTAATGGCCAATCCTGTGAATCACTCGTGTGCCATTGTTGTTCTGAGGCAGGTCATTGTTGATCGAGACTAATATAAGCTGCTAACAATTGACAACTACTCAGATACTTTATGAGACGGGTTAACTCTTGCGTATCTTGGAGACTACAGGAACAATACGAGATAAGGCAATTCTGACCCACAGAAGCACGGGCGAGAGACCCTGGGAAAATACAGAATCCCTGTTTAATGTCCGAGAAAGTCGTCTGAACTGATTTGCTTTTAAACGGTATCGTCTATTCTAACAACCCACATCCTGACACAAAGTTGGACCCACAGTTTGACTTCGTCGGGTGGATTTTCGCTGCGTTCCGAGGTTCATCTCACGATTTAATTAGGTTGTCTCGTTAATCAAGGGTGACATGCGTATCAACCCCGAAGGCGTGGCCTGTCGCATCCAGCCACACAACTGGCATTAGTCCTGCAACAAGGGACTATGACGCTCACGAGGCTTCGTTACGTTGGCGAATCCTCGGTACTAGAACGTTTTACTGCGTTTAATTTATGTAGGCCTGTGTAATTAATACGTTAAAATAAAGAACTGGGCTGAATAAATGCTCTCTTGTGTTAAACAGTAAAACATTTCTTTTATATTCCTCCAGTTTTAGTGGTCTGGCGGGAGGATTCGATTTTGACACTGAAGCTTCGATTTCCAAGAGTCCTTCAGAAGCTAACAACCGCTCATTTGGTGAATAAACTTTTATGGGACTCAGAGGTTCGTTTACTGCCCGTCAGTGGTCTCTGTTCTCACCAACAGGATCACCGGTGTGTGCATTTAGATGCACAGCCGTGATTTCAATATTGCATTTATTTTAAAAAATTTTAAATCGGGCAGCGTCTACATTTGACGGCGTCTAAGATTCGATATAGCGTATTTTTTTTTAAATGAAAGCCTGTTTCTCAATTAAGGTTGCGTCGTACAAAAGACAATCAAGGAAACATAGTATTGTGGAAAGGAAAACCAAAAATTAATGTGCTTGCGTGCCTGGATTATGATATCACACATCTCAGTAAGATACAAAAAGTCCCTATCAAATTTAGAAATTTCTTCTATGCTATCCGGAAAAAAAAAAGGTTTCTGAACCAGTAACAGTGATTATTTATAATACAACGAAGACTGATAAACAATTTTAAAAACTCCCCGTAAAATGAAATCTTCAGGCAGGCCTGAGTTTAATGTTCACGATTCTTTGTCGTTGTGATGACAATTGCTACGCGGACCTTAATGTCACTTTTGCACGAGTACTTTTCAAGATAAATAATATGCAGAGACTGGAGAAAAATCCACCGACGTTCCCCATTGGCTATTCCGCGCGGTAAGTAAAGGGGAGACCCAGGCTCCTCCCCTCACTGTCCCGTCACCCAAACGCAAGTCCTCATCAAATTAGTTTCGAAGTACACGGTGGCTAAATTGTCGCGTGTCCTGCGCTTGAAAGTGAGTTCAACTCCGCGGAGTGCGTGTGAATTTTTTATCTTACTGTTCACGGTAGCGATGACAGATTGAACCGCTTACTTCTATGGTGAATATAACATATCATAAGGTTGATTAGAGGTGGAGAGCTGAATTTATCTTACTTTATTTAATTATACACTGTTTGATGATCATATAAATGTATCACGTGAAAACATGTCATAAAAATAAGAGATCTAAACGAAATTATTAGACGTCAATAAAGAGACTGATCTAGAAATAAAGCCAGATATAAATAAGTAAGGATCTCTGTATATATTAAATCTTGTTTCAAAACGATAAATAATTCAAATACAATTTTCATACATTATGCTAGCGTACATTTTTATCAGATTTTTACCAGATATCAAATGATGTTCTTTTTCAGATTTTTATTCCATTTTTAATAACAAGATTTAATATATACTTATTATATCACAATATGACGCAACTTTACCATTTTAAGGATCTCTGTGTTATGTCTCATCACCAGAATGCAGTACAAAATCATAGGTTTACAAAAAAGATAATAAGTTCTTCGAAAACGTGGTATAATCACAGATCCAACTTGGTAACATCAAAAAATAGAATTGTAGGCCTTATTCTTTACAAAATTAAGAGCGTATTAAATATGGGAAATACTTTATTTCAGTTTATTCATATCCATGTACGTAGATTCATAAATATCAAAATATAACCAATTATAATTTCAGTTGTTTCATATACGTCTGAAATTTCGTCTCTTATATAAAGCTACGAAAATATTTTTTTTTTAAAAAAAAATTACATAGTAAAGGCGAAAACTTGGACGTAATTGAAAGAAAGTTAAAAATGGAGAAAATCAAACACTGGGACATTCGCATTCTTTAATAAGTCGCCAACTAACAAACAAATTCCATGGAGCAACGTCTTCTTCATAAACTAACAGCTACTCGAGAAGGTTCGCAAAATTACGCCTCATTTCAACAACGTCCTCACGTCTTCCAACTTCTCTCTTTCCTTCAGTCGTTTAACTTTCCCCAAAAAGTGCGTTCACAGTGCACGCAATTCTTTCGACACAAAATTCGCCCCTGTCAGAGAATCACTTCAGCATTTACAACTCCTCGAGTCTCACCCCTTACTATTCCTTCGTATTCACGCGTCCTAGAATCAAATCTCGATTCGGAGACCAACTATCTTGACTCATTTCGTGGTTTTCTTCAGCTCCTCAGACAATACCAGGACAGCAGGCCTACCTCCTTACATTAGAGCCACTATCGTTTCCTTCCATATCCATTCCAATTCACTATTCATGTATTGATGTACTGACACTTCGTTAAATAAACTAAAAACATGTAGTAAAACAAATTCATTCATTCCACCCAGAAGAGGCTTTCATTATCCAGGGCAATGTGCGCCAATAGCATATGGTAACTCGGCTTTCCATGTCTGTATAAATAATATTTAAGAATTAAGCCCGTACCTCAAAGAAAACAACTCTTTGCAGTTAAAAAAATGAACAAATTAATCGCTGTTTACAGCGAGAATCATACGAAACACACGAACACAACGTGAAGAGTAAATATCTTTTGAAGCGGGTGGTACATATAGGTACCACTGGGCTTTAATAACTTTAAGGGAGTTCTTCATTTATTTTCCGGTCTGATTTCTTCTGTTTTCCTTGCAGGCTCGTTACGCCATGGTCAGGAGGACAGCACAAATCCCGTGAGACTGAAAGAAAACTACGCATTTGATTTTAAAAATCAAGAGCTCTTTTATTACTGCGTTGCGACAACATGGCCGAAAGCGAAACATCTTTAGTAAGTGGAACATGTGATTTTAACACTGATAACACTACATTACAAAGCAAACGTCCGTCACACGCATTTTCAATCGAGAAACTTCTGTCCGTGACATCAGCTGCGTCAGATGTATGCTCAGGAATAACCTCGGAAGATTCTCTGGAGCCGATGACAGTCGGTCTAACCGGCAACAGTCAACAACCAGCGACAGACAATGCTCGGCAGAGAGTGCCTGAAGAAGACAGACATTGTTCGTATGGGAGAACTACGACGATCACTTCTATAGTGCGAGCGGATTCCTCGTCAGTGGGAGTCCGGCGAGGATGCTGCAGTGACTGCGAGGAACAGGACGTGTCGCTCGAGGAAGAGATGGACGATCTGACGGTCCAGGTGTCTCCAGGAGTGCTGGAGTGCGGTGGAGTAGTCTCCACTACACTGATCGACGCGGAGGGCTCGAATCACAGACCGCACAGCGGTGAGTTTAATTTTATTTTATCTTGCAATCAAATGTTTTATTCTGTTATTTTCTCGCCTCTTATATCAAAATATTGGAAATGTGTACTCTTTGGAGTACACTGACAATTCAAAGGCGTTCTTCACGCCACATCCGAGGTCTCTGTTCAACATTCTTGTACTAATGCGATCCAGACTTTGTTAAAAGTACATGCAACGTGAAGATGGCTGTCTTCTGAGTTGTTGCGCCGTGTGTTCTGGTCGATGTTAACCAACGTTTCAGAGGTCATACTGCCTCC